AGGCGATCGCTCGCTTGTATGTTAATGAACTTATTTTATCAGCGCTCACCTGGTCCAAAACCACACACGAGGACAAAACTCCGGGTTACTAAATAGCTACCGGAAAACTTAGAAGAGTAAACTGTGCCCGAGATTTTTTTAGATAGCGCGCCGCGCCGCTCCGGGAGGGATCATCTTCAGGGTGGGACGGGGGTGGAATTGTCCAGTCACGTGACGAACATAGATCTTCCGTTCCTCAACCCATATTATTTCCACAGTCATTGTCATTAATCACAAATTACGGGATGATATACGAAAATGCAGGTTTACTTTGAAATAGTGCAAATGATACTTTTCCATCTACAATCTTCAGATCAAAAGAAGGAAAATGTTATTACACAGTGCAGCATAATTTGTGCAACAGAAGACATCTCGAATATCGATTGTCGGAAAAAACATTTTCTCGGGGACATTTTTTTCCCAATACGCATTCGGTGTAAGTCTTCAGCCACCAGGAAGTGGTTAGTAGTGGTTGCCTGAGGTTCTCGGGGGGGGGGGGGGGAAGTAGCCTCATCGGCTAGAGTCCTCTATTTCACAAGCAAAAACAACAATTGCTTCCTTGAAAATTTATAGATCAACCCTTTTCACAGACGTCCAGTTTACCACTTCCCGTCAATGCAGTAAGATGGAATATGTAGTTTTTTCATGGACAATTGGGCGAAAGTTGGGGTTTTCTCAAGGAAAACTGGTCAACAAGTTGGGGAAAAAAGCTCGAAAAGTAATCCAGAAAAAAATCCTGTGTGCGGCCCTTGGAATATTATTATGGTTCAAGTGATTATATTTGACCCTGGAATGAAAGTAAGCTCAGAAACACGTAGATTTGTAGCCCTTCCAACGAGATGGATAGCTCTTGGAAAGGACAGACACTTTTCAGATTACAGCCTGTCCGAGAATTGCGTGGCATCCATTTCGTTTGGTGATTAGGACACATAGCGGTTAAACCTGGAACTTCAACTCGAACTATTCAGAGATTTATAAACTCGCTTTTGATGATACTTGCTGTTTTATGATGCGAATTTTTGTTACCTAGGGAGGAGTTGGCCTAGTCGTGCCTTCCACTAATTCGTACCACCCTGATGCCAGCGTTACTGGTAAGAGCCAGGAGACCGGCGCAACCGGCATATAATCGGGCCCTCCGAGGGCAGTGTTTAATCTACTGAAATTTACTGAAAACTAAAATTAAAATACAAAATAAAATATGGTCAATGATGGAGGTAGACTGATTGCGTCTTTTAAAACATTCAAAACATAATAGGCATCAACAAAATTTTGGAGAAAAAAAAATCGGATTTTTTTTTTTTGAGGGTGGGGGGGGGGGGCTATTTGTAAAACGAACATCGTAATGACCTTGACCTTCCTTCATCGGCGCTCACTTGATCCAAAACCGCACACAGAGGACCAGGCTCCGGGTTACCTATTCAGGGTGCTTTCCGGTATTTAGGATGTTTTCCGGTATTTAGTGTTTTTCCGGTATTCAGTATAAAATGATGTTTTCTGGTTGTTTTCCGGTGTATAGTATGGCCCGATATATTGTAGAATTCAGTCAAATTCAAATTATTTTATTCTTACGTTATGTATGTGTGAAATGTTGATAAGAAATGGCCGATTGTCAAGTATCATTGTCATTCTAATAAACAAAGTCTAGATTGTTATTAATGTTATTGACATACGAAGATGTGACAAACTAAATATCGCAGTCATAAGATGGCCTACCTTGACATGTGAATAAATATCTGGGGAATAATAATTATATAATTTTGAAGATTTAGATCTTGAATCTTTAATAGAATGCAATAAACTAAACTCGACGTTAAATTAAATAGCTCAAATAGGTAGATTTAGCTGCAACAAAACTATTTCTTCATTTTGTTGTTGTATTTCGACATTTGTATCTTAAAATTAACATTTGTATCTTAAAATTAACATTTGTTTTACAAATCAGACATTTGTTATATCAGATTTGTAAATTGTAATTTTGTTAAATTTAATTTTATTTTAATATCTCGGTCAACAAATTCATCTAACCTGAACATTATGACGACAGAGGACGCTACTGGTGGGATGAATTCAACCTGCTATACAATAAGTCACCATACAATAATGGCGAATCTTTGAGAGCCCACAATGAAATGTCATCTTTTTACATTATGTACTCCAGAATTGTGACATAAGAAAAATCGCTCGATGGGCGTGACAGTCAGTGGTGACAGCATTGAAATTACCTGTGTGGTATAGCTAATCCGGTTCTTCAATAAAGAAAACAAATTGAAAGTAGTCTATTGTTAGTAATTAGGCTATTGTCTGATACATCCCGCGATACATTAAACAATTACCCGTTTTTTTAACTTTTCGATTCGAATATGATCTGTTTTCATGTTCAAGGTATGTAAATGTGAATATGCCAGAAAATAATTTATATTCTGAAAAAAGGTAAATGAACCTTCTGTTCAGCCGTATTCAGTGTGATATCTGGAATTTCATATTATGGTCCGTATTTAGACATTTAAGACCCCCCCCCCTTCAATCGTACCATACAACTTTTCCAGGTATCTTCTGGCATATTTATATTGAAAAAAGGTCAAGGTTGCACGGTACTACACTTTATTAAATGAGTGGAGATGGAGAGGTATATCTGTTCATATACTATTGGAAAGTTTGTTTATTGGTTGCTACAAAAATGTACATTATTTTCTGGCACAATATACATACCTTGAATAAAGATCAAATGTGAATGGCGCTAACCTGTATTAAATTTAAATGATGGGGGTGGGGGGGGTATTTAACGTCAAAATACGGACCATAACACAATGCATACCATTAAAATAAAGGTCCATATATTATACCGTTTCAAAATTATGAAATGTGTTCTGGCACATTCATATTTACGTACTATGTTAAATTAGATCAAATTTGGATCGTATTGAACTCTACTTTAGTGAGATGACGGGATCATAATACGGGTCTTAATACGAAATTCCAGTTATTGGGTGATGCATAATAATACGTAGTATAATGTTTGTTCAGTATGACATAAGTTGGTATTTATTCACGCGACACCAGGATGTATATCACGTGATAAGATTATACTTGTTCTTTTATACACGGGTATTGAAGTATGACTACACAAATATTAGTATAGATTACATACAATGAATGTATATGAAGACAGGTCGATATAGCGACTTCTAGAACTTTAAATGAGGCCGAGGTGACATTAACAGGCTTTAATATTTTAATATTTTGATTAAATATTTATAATGAATGGTAGGCTTTTGTGAATCAGACTCTACGAGATGAGTGATGAACTGATTTACAAACTATTTATTATGACGTGGTATATATGTGGTTATAATCATACAACATACACTCTGGTCATATTCTAAATGAGAGAGAGGGAGAGAGAGAGAGAGACGTCATTTCGAGGCTACCATATAGTACAATTTTATTTCAATAATTCGCTTCCACGTAGGGATCTTTACCAGAAGGGTGATGCCTGGGAAGTTAGGCAGGCTAAAGATAAACATAAGAAGTGTAAAACAATTTATAATATAATCTGTATCAAATGAAATAAAAATAATACAAAAGACAGAATGATATACATGTATAACACAATATATAATATAATCTGTATAAAGTAAAGTAAAATAATACAGAATATTATACAAGTATAAAGAAAATGTTACTAAACTATGCTGCAACAGTAATACGGGTTAAAGATGCGTTATAATAGTTCAAATAGATCATACAAATGAATATATTGAAAATTTCATTCAAATGACTTGAACAAGATGTGGCATAGATCTTGTTTCAGTCCGTTTACATCTCTGCCATCAGATGGTTTAGAAGGTTGAATATAAGCTTGTTATGTGAATAAATGTCTAAATAATAGTTTCTAAACATTCGAATCCAAAAGAAAGACCACCTGCAATAGGCAGATTTGGCTTTGTATCTTTAAATATAGAAAACGGGTTTGCCCGTACTATAACAAGTCACATCTATACATAATAGCCTGGTTTTTCCAGATATAAATAAACCTGACGTGTAGTTTGTCAAGAGGGTGAATAGTTTGTTATTATATGTAAAGGAATAAAAGACAAGGTAACTTAAATCTTATAAAATAAACCTAATTTATGTTAAAATGTTATTCAAGACCGTAGATAAAATACTAATTAAATCTAATTCATGTTATACTGTTAACCAATACAGTGGGTAAAATACTAACCAACCGGTTCGTTTACACGGAGTAAAATACTAACCAGCCGGTTCAATTACTAGCCAACAGGTCCGTTTACAGTAGGTAAAATACTAGCCAACCGGCCAGTTTACAGTGAGTAAAATACGAACCAACAAGTCCGTTTACTGTAGGTAAAATACTAGCCAACCGGCCAGTTTACAGTGAGTAAAATACGAACCAACCGGTTCGTTTACAGTAGGTAAAATACTAGCCGACCGGTCCGTTTACAGTAGGTAAAATACTAGTCGACCGGTCCGTTTACATTGAGTAAAATACTAGACAACCGGTCCGTTTACAGCGGGTAAAATACTAGACAACGTATTTTTTTTACAGTGCTCAACATTCTACTACATAAACGACGGGTTAGTGTTAGTTAAACTTCTATAACAGAATCACCTTAAAACGGATATTGACAGCTCTGTTAAAAACGAAGATTTACCAGAAACGGATAAACAAACAATACACAAATGTAACAATTCTTTCACAGCTGCACAGGTGATGTTTGTCAAATCAAGACCATTATTTTGTGCTTTTTATACGCCCATATTTTGTTTGTGGATACTCTATAGGTCATACTATTTATCCAATTTTGTCGAAACTTGCAATATAGGTTTATATCGGGCCGTAACATCCTGGATTATAGCCCCATATTGTCCGAAAATCTCTTTCTTAGCTTATTCTCTATGTCCATAGCTTGTTTTATATCTTACAGATGCAACTATAGTTAATTATAACATTCATTTGGAACGTCCACCATACTAGATAAATATTGGGATGATCACCATATTAATGTTGGGATGATCACCGTACTAGATAAATGTTTGACTGGTCCTGGAATCTATAAATAAGAACATAAAATGGAAGGTATTGTGTGTTTATTAATCTATGTAGATATATTGAAGAGAAAGAGGTAGTTGACTAAATCCTTAATCTGACTGGTTGTTGAATCTGTGTATCGTTGAATATCTTTGTTAGAGTGAAATACATTGTAAACAGGTTGGTAAAATTGGGGTAATATTGATATTTTAAACAATGTTTAGTATGTCATCGTAGTTGATGTGCTTTTATACCTTGTCTATAAAACAGACTGGAATTCCAATTACCTAATGTTTGTTTTATTTTCAGAAATCCGAGTATCTATTATAGGAAAGACAGGGGTTGGTAAGAGCGCATTAGGGAATGCGCTGTTACAACACAATATCTTTAAATCACAACAACAGATTACCTCTGTAACATCAGAATGTGGTTCGGGACAACGACATCTTCAGTTAAACGGTGTAGATACCTTACTAAAAGTTGTGGATACACCAGGTTTGTTTGACACGGGTAACAGTAACAAAACAATAGCCAAGGAAATCGTTAAATGTATTCATATTTTATCACCAGGGCCGCATTTATTTATTATGGTATTCAGAATTGACTTAAGACTCTCAAAAGAGGACATAAAAGTTCTTGAATATTTTAAAAACACTTTCGGTGAACTGATTGATAAATTTGCCGTTGTGGTGTTTACTGGGAAAGATCTACTGGTTGATCGAAGTGAAGATGGTGCTATAGGCGACTTTCATACTCATTTGTCAACATTTAGTGATGTTTTTAAACACTGCCAATCGGCAACGATCAATAATGGAAGGAAACATACAACAGAAGGAAAGACGAAGGATGTTGATGGAATCTTACAATTACTTCAGACAACTATACAGAAAAATGGTGGGGCCTATTATAAAAACGAAATGTACGAAGTGGCGAAGAAGTTGTTTGAAGCCAGAATACAAGACCAAGAAGTAGTCAATCAAAACAGATGGGCCGAAATAGCTAAACTGACGAAGCAAATTGAACAATTCAAACAACGGGAAGAGGAACAAAAACAACGAGAAGAGCAATGGGAAGATCACCAAAAACAACGAGAAGAGGAACAAAAACAACGAGAAGAGCAATGGGAAGAGCACCAAAAACAACGAGAAGAGGAACAAAAACAACGAGAAGCCAGAATACAAGACCAAGAAGTAGTCAATCAAAACAGATGGGCCGAAATAGCTAAACTGACGAAGCAAATTGAACAATTCAAACAACGGGAAGAGCAATGGGAAGAGCACCAAAAACAACGAGAAGAGGAACAAAAACAACGAGAAGAGCAATGGGAAGAGCACCAAAAACAACGGGAAAACGATTTGAGAAATTGGGAGCTAGCATTGAAACCAAAAGATGGACTGTCTTACACAGAACAAGCCACCACATCAGCATATCAATACGGTACGTTATTTACTATCATCACCATCCTCAGGCATGATACTAACATCATATGAATACGGTACGTTATTTACTATCATCACCCGCAGGCATGATACTAACATCATATCAATACGGTACGTTATTTACTATCATCACCCTCAGGCATGATACAAACATCATATCAATACGGTACGTTATTTACTATCATCACCCGCAGGCATGATATTAACATCATATCACTACGGTATGTTATTTACTATCATCATCACCCTCAGGCATGCTACTAACATCATATCAATACGGTATGTTATTTACTATCATCACCATCCTCAGGCATGATACTAACATCATATCAATACGGTATGTTATTTACTATCATCACCATCCTCAGGCATGATACTAACATCATATCAATACGGTATGTTATTTACTATCATCATCATCCTCAGACATGATATTAACACCATATTGTTATGTGTCTAGTAATATATGTTGTTATGTAAATCAGTGCGGGTATAGATGTATGATAATATTGTTATGTCTAGTAATATATGTTGTTATGTAAATCAGTGCGTGTATAGAAGTATGATAATATTGTTTTCTACTCGTTACCTTGACCTGAATTTGTTCATCATATTCATCTGATTTCATTATGTTATATAGTTGTCATCACATTCATCTGATTTCATTATGTTATATAGTTGTCATCACAGGGAAATAAGTTGCATAAAATTCTTGTTACTCTCGTGTTTGTGTTAATAAAGTGGAGTCAACTGCAATACGACATATCCGGTAGTAAATCAATTGTAATTATAGATTTGGTTTGATGCTTTCCAAAAGTGCGTTTTATTATATGGCACGAAGCATAATGACCTGTAAGAAATCCTTTAGTTGAATTTTAATTTGTCATTGGTGATCATCATTATTTTAACGTCTTATAAACAAAAACTTGCTATAATAATATTATTGTCAATGATACAAATTATTACAGCCACAGGTATAATATCGTCGTGTTTATTGTTTCAGAGAGTCCACCTCGTGCCAAGAGGAGAAAGTTCATATCTAGAAGAGAGAAAGGGATGATGTCACCTGAAGATAACAGTAGGATAATATCTAACTATTATGACTCTATAATTATTTATGTAATCTTGTAATTAGTTCTTGTCCATGGCTTATTTGAAGAATTTAACGAAAATTATGGGAATAATTTTGAGCGTGAATGCCAACCTTTTCTGAAACCACGTGACTGTGAGAGGATGAACATTACTGATTTTCAGCCAAATTGAGGGCAATTATTGAGTGAACAAAAGACTGGATGAAATGGGATTCAACGCCTTACATGTCTGAGCAAATAAAATCTGGTATACACCACGTAGCGTGCTATGAAATATTTATGTTACTTTGTAAGACCTACGGATACCTAAACGTCGTCTCATTGTCACTGTGCAAATAGTACTGTTATTGATAATCTCTGTGCAATGTAGAGAGAAATCATTTTGCCTGGACAGCGATGGCTCTGCCAACTTTCATCAGCATGTCAGTTTCGATTTTGGGATTTCCTCATGGGTGTTTGATATTGGCATTGATCAATCAAAAGTAGAGAAAAGAAGCCATCATGGTTTAAAGTTAAAATGCGGATCTTCCGTTTGTCCTCAAATGTTATATAAATCATTAATTCACATGTCAAGCATACAGTTTACCTCGTAATTCATTTTCGTCAAAGTAATATAATTTTATACGTTCACATTATAACTTTTATTGTCGTCGCACCGTCCGTCCACATTTTGTTTGTGGACACTCTACAGGTCAAAAAATTTTATCAGATTTTGACGAAACTTGAAATATAGGTTTATCTCCCAAAGATCTCGCCTCCCTTCGATATCGGCGTGTATTGGATCGTAACTTCATGGATTATGGCCCCTGATTGTACGAAAAATCGTGTCATTAGCTTGTGGACATAAATTTGTTATGTCGGACCGTAACACCCTGGATTATAGCACCTTATTGTATTTTTTCTTTTAGCTTGTTTTCTGTCCATCTGGGCGCATCTTGCATGACAACGGCTTGTTAACAATTTGAGTGGGGTGTCATCTATACTAGAGAAGACTCAATAACCGTATCTATTGTTTTTACCAAACTCATTTCGTCTTGTTGAACTCATGCGCATTGTTCTTACACTCATTTCAATTATAAAACACAAGTCGTCATTAATATTCCTTATCAATCATAATCTTCAAACGTAGTATTCGTATAATTATTCATGTAATATTGTAATTAGTTCTCGTCCATGGCTTACATCTATATGAAGAATTTGACTTCCCACCTTTTCTGAAAACCATGTAACCGAGAGAGGCTGGGTGCTATTTTGTCTCAGTCAGAAGATTTCAAAATTTGGGGTAATTATTGAGTGAACAAAAGATTGAATGAGATGTGATTTAACGTCTTTCATTTCTTCACCAACTCGGCAACTGAAAATTGGTATATGCCATACCGCGTACCGAGATATGTTGTTTATATTATGTACACCACCGCCGCCAACACTGGAATCCACCAGTGCAAGATTCACTCTGTGAATAGTACTGTTATTGATAATCACTGTGCAATGTAATATGGTAGGGGGGGGGGGTCATTTCGTCCAGGCGGCGATATATCGGCCAACTTTCGGCCAACTTTCGGCAAAGGTTTCACCCCGGTCTTTATTTTACTACGTAACATTTGTCACGAGTTATATTGACTTCAACAGTTTATGTAACTGCTTGTCCATTATTGTGCATAATCTCTCTCTCTACCTCTCTCTCTCTGTGGAAGCGTTCATTTAATACCTTTATTGGCAGGACGATCTAACATGTCTGGTAAGACAAATAATGGTAAAAGGAAATCTTCAGAAAGTCATTCCACTAGTAAGAAAACAATTTTCCAACTAGAAACACGACCAACCCCTAGTACCAGTAGTAGTACAGATACTGGATCAGCTTTAGTTTCACAAACAGAAACTTTACATGGTAATACCAGAACAGGTAAATATATTTCAAACATTAACATTAAAATCTGGACAATCTTTATAAACAAATCCAGGAAGACTATAAGGATAAATCTTATATTGCCCAGTTATAAAAATACATCGTATTGACCAGGTACAAGAATATAAGGATAAAGTTGCCAATATTATTTCAATGTTCACGGTGCAAAATGCATATGTCCGCAGTTCTTCAAATACGTATTCTAGTTTTACAATTTGCAATTTCCATTCCACCACAATACTAATGTCAAAGTGTTAAAATACAGAATACACTTTTCAATAATACTAAATACAGTATAATAGTTATTTTGCACATTACACTTCTCCATTCTGCATTTTACATAATAGACAAATGCATAATAGAACTATCTAATTCAGATGATATTTAGACTAGCCTACTGTTGATGAAATTGAAGCAAAGTTGATCAAATAGTGTTAGGAGAAACCCAACGGGACCGTATACAAAGTAATATAATAATTATAACAACATGTATGAGATACAATACAATGAACACAGAGGCAAAATTTCACAAATTGCACTTTTAACCACTGAAAACTTGAGTCTGGCCCGACAAAACCCATTTAATTGTTGAATGGACAGTAAACCCCATTTCGATTAATTTTCATTCCACGCTACATGTATAAAATAAATACAATCTGATTATACCGACATTAAATTTATTGTTTAATTATATTAATATCCAGGCCAAGAACAGATGCATTTGTAGTGCCATATTTTTTTTTATTTAATATTAGTTCTGTGCGATAGGTGTTATGTTATCGGAAGGTATAGTTTAGACTTTTAGCTACTTTGTGATCAGTTTTTCGTTTATGATCCTGAAAGCAGAATTCATATTTATATAAATGTGCTTTTCTCATAAATGGGACGGGGTCAGTTCCCACTGGCAAACCAATAGTTTGCTGTATTATCTGATCTCCAACTTCAGCTATGGCATTGTCAATGAGAAAATGAATAATGTTTTGAAACTTTTCTTTATCCATAACGATAGTTTCGGCATTGCGACGTTTAATAATCCATTTACCAACTTCTGAGTAAATGGCCATCAACTTTATATTATTTTTTGATTGAAACAATAATTATCTATCTTTTCAAATACACTGTACATGTATGTATCATATATCTATATTCAACATTTATGTTGTAAGATGTACCCAAAACAGTATTACATTTCAGAGTAAAAATTAGAAATGACGATGTTCTGTAGCAAAGGTTTTCCCGGCTTTGTCATGATTTCATTATGTTTCACAGGAAATAGATTGTATAAAATTATAATAGAGTTCTTATTCCTGGACTCACAGTTACTCTTAAGGTCGATGGTTATGAAATGACGTTGAAGTACAGTACATCATTTCCGGAAGTTACTCCCATGTTTTTGTTTATAAAATGGTTTCAATTCATAATTATAGATTTTGTTCGATGCTTTCCGGAAATGCATTATATTATATGGCATTGAAACATCAGTGATATTTTTTTTTGCATGAAGTCCATTTTCAAATAGTAGTCATTACACCTGAATGTTAATGATACAAATATTTGTTGTTATAGACACGGGTATAATATCTTGGTGTTTATTGTTTCAGTTGAATACCAAGAGAGTCCACCCCATGCTAAGAGGAGAAAAGTTATAGCTAGAAGAGAGAAAGGAAAGATGCCACCTGAAGATGAATTTAGGATAAGATCTAACTACGTGTATTTAACAGAGAATCTGAATCCTCTACACCCATTATTAGACAGCTTAATTGAAATGTATGTCCTAAATGAAGATGACTTGGAAAAAATCAGTAGAGCGGAATCTAGCGGTGGTACAAAACAAATGATTCGTCAATTTCTAGATATTCTTCAAACTTGTGGTAGACATGCATATCCAAAATTTATTGATTGTTTATATATATCAGGATATGGAGCAGTAGCCGAACAATTATCATCGGGTAAGTAAAATAGAACAATTTACATTCGATACCATTATTTTAGTTTGTCAGCGATATTGAATTAAATACTTTCCTTCGAGGATTCACCTATTATTCTTATATTAATATGTTGAAGTGGATTTATTTCAGATATATGACATAACGTTATTTTGTTATTTATAATAATTTCAGATGTTGATATGGGTGGAATAGTTAAAAGGGAAGTGAAACAATTACAGGCAGAGAAAAAATATTTACAGTTACAGAAAAAACTTCAACAAATAAAACGGGAGAGTGAACAGGCGCTTCACATATCTTCCACAGAGAACCGGCGGATAAAAACGACGTTGAACTCATGGAGGATAGCTTTAAAAACAAAAACCAATATCTTGGTTCGATTCAAGTCCGAGATGAGAACAAAAACGAAGCTACTGGACCGACTAAAAGAGGAAAGGGAGACAAGAAATGAAGATCTACAAATGACGAAAGTGAGAAACAGTATTTTGTGCGATGAGCTGGACCGAATTTATGAACAAAATGTTATAATAGACAGAATTAAAGAGGAATTTGAAGATGATGATAATGGACAAGGTAAGCTTTATTCGGTAATTAACAACCAGTAGTGTTTCTTGGCCGACTGTATCTTTAGTATTTTTGTTGTAAAACAGATGCTATGTTCAGAACAGAATACGTTTTGGCCAATCCCAGTATCCAGTAGCTTGACTCGTTATGGCATAATACCCCCTTTGTATTTTGAGGATTTGTAAATCTGACATTGTTCACATTATTATTACGTGTTCATATCCATTTAGTTTATATCTGTCTTTATTTATTATGTAGGGGGGGGGGGTGAATGGCCAAATGGTTAGCACGTGCGCAATGTTTTATAGGGCTTGTCATTGAGTCGCCTGGCGTGGTGTCAAATCCCCGGTTGTACGTGACAAGGAGTAGGGTCACCTGTCCAACCTCGTGGGTTTTCTCCGGGTCATCCGGTTTTCTCCCACTGCTAAAGACCCCTACGCTCAAGCGAATGATTGAAAAAAAAATAAACCATATGCTAGTCCCGAAATGACCAAGTGTGTGTCGAGTGGAAATTTAACCCCATTTCTCCCGCTCTTTCTATTTATTCTTTAATATCGCAATATTTCAGATGTAGGAATAAATGAATCCGATTATTCGTCAGTTGATATTCAAGCAACAGATGGGAAACTACTGGGAAAACAAGAACCTCTAGATGTACATCAGACTGATGATAACGACTGTAGTCTACCAACAGATGATAAACTACTGGTAAAACAAGAACCTCTAGATGTACATCAGACTGATGATATAGATTGTAGTCTACCAACAGATGATAAACCAGTTGATAAACGGTTGATAAAACAGGAATTTTGGAATATAGATGGGATTGGTGATATGGACTGTAGTATACCGATATATGATCCACAGCTAATTAAACCAAATTCACCGGATAGATTAGTAGACGACATTACAAAAGGTTGTCAACTTAATATAAAATACGATATAATCCTACCTAGGCAGTCCATTTATTGTCGCCGTTGTGGCTTTACAAAATGGATTTTTGCACCTGATTCCCGACCTGATTTACGTAGTGGACTTTATATGATCACATTTTGTTTATAATAACCATTAATTAAAACATTGATAATAATAAACACTAATTAATATTACATCGACAGAAGACCATTGACCAATCAGAATACAGATATCATAATCCACTGCCTAGAAATAAAAGAACAAAATGGCACAGCCTTGTTGACAAGAACAAATATATAGTAATTAATCAGTTTGTCTGATGTAAACACGAGTTTGTCTTCTAACTTTACATACATCAACCTGTCTGGTTAACAAAAACATATAATATGTTTAAAAGACGATACATAATGCGTTAACCTTAATATGTATGCTTTTTAATTTTATACATTTTAGACAAAGTTGTTGAACATACTGGCTTGTTTATCAAAAAAGAACCACAAGAGATAAATGAGACTTGTGGCGTAATGCAACCAACTGTTCTGTCTTCTACTACAAGACCAGATATAGATCAGACTAATGGTATATCCCAGCCAGCTGTTGATCAACAAGGTATAGCACAATATTCACACGCCATATTAAATGTTGCAATAATTGATCTCTAAAAACTGTTCAACGGACATTATAGATACCCATGATTAACATATTGAGGTGTATTACATTGGCTGTTATAGAATCTCATTGAGATGAATAAGGTATTGTTTAAAAAAATCATAAGGCTGAGGACAGATGAATAGTGTGCTTAGTTTGGGGTCACCAAGGTCTCTTCCGGTCAAGAGGGTGGGGTGGTGCAAAGGCATTAACCTATTCAAATCATGTAGTTCTAACTTGTCGGGCATAACACATTTCGTGTGGAATTTACTCCAGGTATTTTGGATGGGACGAGAGAAATTGAAAAAAGTAGGATGAACGGCAATTGTCCATGAGGGATGATATAACACTAACTTCTAAACTACCAGTATCTGATAAAACCACTTCGTTTTTGAGTTCATAACAATGAAAATAGAAACATTGAATAAATATTAGACTCACAAAAAAAACACATTTTATAGACTTGATCCTCTTAAATATTAGAGTGGACGTTTTATGCCGTTGTCCACGTCCGTTCAGACGTCTGTTCTCATTTAGGTGGGTAGGAAGCTGGCTGGCTATCCTGGAGATCGCGTGTTCCATCCCTGCATTGACTGAGAGAGAGGTCGTCGGGATTTTCCGGCGTGGTTTCCCCCTTGTCGGTGGTGCAGGATGGATGGTCTGACAAGGACAGCTGTCTAGTCTAGAGATCAAATTGTTTCCTTATTTCTTTTATGAAACTGAGATTATATCTTCAACATTGCAGATGGTTGCGATTTTGGCACGTATCTAACCGTAACCTTGTGGATTATTGTCCGTGATTATAGTTTATGGAACCTCTAGAAATCATAATTATTATTCGATTTGAATTGACGTTCAAATATATGTTGATTACACAACAATCGTAGATGAGTTATGGCAACTTCCTGTTAAATGCCCTACCCCACCCACCCTTCTTTTACACAAATAGTAGAAAAGCATAATGATATTATATACAAAGGTGGTCCAATTATTGTCCAATTTCACTGTATATTAAAGATCAAACGATTTTAGATGACCCCCTGTCTTTTACATAAAATGTGTAACTAGGTTAGTGGGCGTTTTCTAGTGTAGGGAGCCGCGGTGACTCAATGAGTAAGACTTTGGCTCGCTAACCTGGAGGTTACATGTTCGATTTAGGTGTGGTTTTCTCTTGTCACTGGTGCTCGACAGGATTGCTGGCAAGGGACAACATATAGTCGTCCTGATGGGACAAAAAACTGAGGTCTGGTGTACACATAGGCTAGGCGTCACATAAAATATCACTTTGCTGTTGAAATTCGATATGAGAGTAGGCGGTAACGCCGCTGTTCGGCCAAAATTACCCCCGTAGAACACTGTATGGCATAGTAGGGCATATTCCTTTCTTCATTATCCCAGCCGTAGCAGAACAGTATAGGATGGCAAGCCCTATTTTGTTTCATTTCCAGTGTTTTTAATTGGGAATAATACCATTTATATATATTATCCTGATTCGAGGTAATATGTTATGTAATTTGGGATAGGTTATTGTAGTATTGTTTGATCTATGAAGGTTATTGTGGTATTATTTTTCCGTAAAGATCATCTGGTCACATTATGGTCCAAATCTAATAAGATCATGTGACAAACAGTTTGATATACATGAAGTCATTATAGATTCCATGACGTCGAGGACACCGTTACGTCATCCGTGGCAACCAGTAATGTTCGGTAACCAAGTGTCGTATCTAAACGTACCAATTATATGACCGTGTTAAATTTCGACATGTTTTGTTATTTGTTTCGACCTGTTTATAAATGCCATTCATACCAACCTCCGTAGTCAGTGGTTCAAATTCAACATTTATGTTACTTATTACATTTTAGTCTTATACATAATGTACCTCAATTAATATATTTCAGATATTACAACTTTATTGACACCAGGTCATTATTCACCAAATGTAGAGTCTTGTCTACAATCCACTTCCCAACATCAGGATCTAGAGTCTGGTCAACCATCAACATCACGGTGTCTAGATTCTAGTCATATTAATCAACGTAAAGATGATACAACACCAGTTAAAACATCACCTGTTTACGATGATGATAAAGTTGTTAGACCAGTAGATAAAGATACATTACATACTGTTTGTGAACATGGTACATTAGACGAATTAAATTCTATTTTATCAGATAAAACAATTGATTTAAATAGTACAGATGATTTAGGTAGGGGAGCCATGTTTTATTGTATTAGATCGGTTATTCAACCTGTAGATAAACTAGAGTTGTTGATATCATATGGTGCTAAACTTGATGTTAAAGATAGGTTAGGTTATAGTTTATTATATGAGGCGTGTTTGTATGGATTTGTAGAAACTGTTAAATCGTTTTTAAATACAGGTAGGGTAGTAGATATAGAGAGTAAGATCAATGCTGGTATTTCCCCAATACCTGTAGCTATATGTTCACGTCAACAACCTGTAGAAAAACTAGAATTATTGATATCATATGGTGCTAAACTTAATGTTAAATATAAGAATGGTAATAGTTTATTACATGTAGCGTGTGAGTATGGATGTGTAGAAACTGTTAAATTGTTGTTAAATACAGGTAGGATAGATATAGAGAGTATGAATAAGTTTGGTGAAACCCCAATACTTGTAGCTTTTCGTTCACGTAGACAACCTGTAGAAAAACTAGAATTATTGATATCATATGGTGCTAAACTTGATGTTAAATATAGGTTAGGTTATAGTTTATTACATGAGGCGTGTGGGTATGGATGTGTAGAAACTGTTAAATTGTTGTTAAATACAGGTAGGGTAGATATAGAGAGTAAGGATAATGATGATAAAACCCCGATACTTGCAGCTATACATTCACGTAGACAACCTGTAGAAAAACTAGAATTATTGATATCATATGGTGCTAAACTTGATGTTAAAGATTGGTCTGGTAATAGTTTATTACATGTAGCGTGTAAGGATAGATGTGTAGAAACTGTTAAATTGTTGTTAAATACAGGTAGGGTAGATATAGAGAGTATGAATAAGTATGGTGAAACCCCAATATTTACAGCTTTACTTTCAGATAAACAATCTGTAGAGAAACTACAGTTGTTGATATCATATGGTGCTAAACTTGATGTTAAAGATAAGTATGGTAATAGTTTATTACATGTAGTGTGTAAGGATAGATGTGTAGAAACTGTTAAATTGTTGTTAAATACAGGTAGGGTAGATATAGAGAGAAAGGATGATGATGATCAAACCCCAATACTTGTAGCTTTTTCTTCATATAAACAATCTATAAAGAAACTAGAATTATTGATATCATATGGTGCTAAACTTAATGTTAAAGATCGGCGTGGTAATAGTTTATTACATGTAGCGTGTAAGGATAGATGTGTAGAAACTGTTAAATTGTTGTTAAATACAGGTAGGATAGATATAGAGAGTAGGGGTGATTATGATGAAACCCCAATACTTGTAGCTATACGTTCATATCGACAACGTAGTGAGAAGATGAGAGTATTGGCAAATTGTGGTGCTAATCTTGATGTAAAATATTCAAATTATTCAGGTGATAGTCTACTGCATATTGTATGCAGACGTCATGAAGTAGAAGATGTGGAATTTTTGTTAAGTAAAAGTAAAGATATAGAGATAAGAAACAAAGCAAATGAAACTCCAATAATATCGGCCCTGCGTTCATCAAAACAATCAATACAAAAGGTCAAACTATTATTAGATAAGGGTGCTCAACTAGATCATTCCCCCAGCTTACTTCACTATGCCTGTCAATATGGCAGTCTAGATTGTGTTAAATACTTTATTAATAAAGGTTTAGATATTGAAGGCAGGAATGGTGAAAATGAAAGTCCTTTAATGTTAGCTATTAGTTCAACAATCCAGTCATTAGAAAAGGTCAAGATGTTATTAGATAAGGGTGCTAAACTAGATCATTCCTCCAGTATACTTCACTATGCCTGTCAATATGGTGGACTAGATTGTGTAAAGTTTTTTATAAACACAAAAAAAATCGATATAGAAAGTAGGGATGATAATAATCGAACACCTCTATTTGATTGTGTTTTGACAAAACGAAGAAATTTTATAAAGAAAATAGAATTATTGATGTCTATGAATGTTAATAAATTGGTTAGAGATATAAATAATTTGAGTGTATTACAATTTGCTCGTAAACTTTCTAGAAAAACATGTGTACAATATCTTATTAAAAATGGTTTTACTGATTAATGAATAGCTTATAGAAAACCGTAAATTATAAAATTATGTTTGAAACTACATCTATTGGGTAGCAAGGTACAGCCATTTGAATGGGGTGTGGACGTAAAAGATCCCTGGAGAGCTGCAATTCGACAAAAGAGTAGGCTACTGTATGACATACACCCGTCTTCATTATTAGCCCAGTCGGGGCAGAAAAGTAGGACGTTAAACACCATTTTATTTAGTAATAATTCTATGTACATGTACATACCAATAATATCATACTTTCATAGGTAAATCTTGTTTACGGTAGTCTCGAACACCATGACATTTCAACCACAGTTATATTTTAATATTGTAAACCATATATAGACATTAACTTGTATTATAGACATTGACCTGTATTATAGACATTGACCTGTATTATAAACATTGACCTGTATTATAGACATTGACCTGTATATCTATATATTTATATCACAGTTATTATTGGATTATATCTGTATAAATATTTATCATATATGAATATACTGAAGGTAAATAAAACAAACTATATTTATTTTATTGGTAACCTTGATCAATAGACATGTGACTGAATGTAGGACATGTTGTTAATTACAATAGAATAAAGAGACACGGGGAAGGGGGTTTAACGTCTACTCAACACATGTAGGTCATTATGGGACTAACATATGGTAGGCTATATCTTTATTCTACTAATTCGCTTGAACAGGACTCTTAATCAGTAGGAAGGGGAGGGGGGCAGAGAAAACCCACGTGGTTATGCAGGTGACACCACAACTCCTTGACAGGTACAACATTGGGATTAAACTTCTAGAACTGAAACGGGGTTTAACGTCCTGTTTTTCTACACCAACCGAGTTATTGTCCGAACGACTAGAAACTGGTTATTGCAAGCCCAGCCTTCTCTCAGACCTACAAGCCTGGAGAAAATTACCCGAACGACTAGAAACTGTTTACTGTAAGCCTAGCCTTCTCTCAGACCTACAAGCCTGGAGACAATTACCCGAACGACTAGAAACTGTTTACTGTAAGCCTAGCCTTCTCTCAGACCTACAAGCCTGGAGACAATTACCCGAACGACTAGAAACTGTTTATAGCCTAGCCTTCTCTCAAACCTACAAGCCTGGAGAAAATTACCCGAACGACTAGAAACTGGTTATAGCCTAGCCTTCTCTCAAACCTACAAGCCTGGAGACAATTACCCGAACCACTAGAAACTGTTTATTGTAAACCTAGCCTTCTCTCAAACCTACAAGTCTGGAGACAATTACCCGAACGACTAGAAACTGTTTACTGTAAGCCTAGCCTTCTCTCAGACCTACAGGCATGGAGACAATTACCCGAACGACTAAAAACTGGTTATTGTAAACCTAGCCTTCTCTCAAACCTACAAGCATGGAGACAATTACCCGAACGACTAGAAACTGTTTATTGTAAACCTAGCCTTCTCTCAAACCCACAAGCCTGGATAAAATGTAAAGTGTTAAGCTTTGTACACACTGCCAACATTTTCGGAAACATCTCGGCAACACACCCGGGCAACAAATATTGACACTGTATACACAGGAAACAGTTCGACAACATTGTTGGGCAACTTAACAACCGTTTCTTGCTGGTAGCTGCCAGGTAGATCATGTGATTTGTGGCCAATTTCTGATTAGACAACACTCGGCAACATCATTGTATTTATTTCGGTAACATTTGGACAACATGTTTCGAATGTTTCCGAACTGTACACACTATCCACTTTTTCACCAACATGGCACCTGATCAACACGTTACCGAAAATGTTGGCAGTGTGTACAGAGCTTTAAGACAACGTTCCTTGAAAGCCCTCTCACTTCTCCCAGACACCAATGTGTACACGGTACCTTTGATTAAACATGCATTATGCAAGAGCAAAATCTGCTTATTACAAGTCTTTCTTTAGGCCTGAAATGTTATCTAAATTATCAATTAGACATTAATTAACTTATCCAGACCATAATAAACTCTCGATGTCAAGGCTAGACTTCGATGTAGGCTGGATTAGATTCCTATATGCCGCTAACGGCCAAAGATAATTATATCAGAAAAAAGTGGATAATCGAGACTATGCTGTTTATATTAATGATTTTAGTAATGATGACCGAGACTATGCAAAAATTTCACCCGCTTCTTTCTCGGCTCATAGTGGATCAATTTGACTGAAATTTTCAGCAAATTACCTTTACACTATCTAGTTTTTAACTATTATAGCGAGAACTGCCATCTCTTTATCTTATCTCCCATAATGTATCTTTAATGTTCCACCCGAACAGGAAGGGCGACATCACGACATGATACCAATCAGCCACTATACATTTCAGGTTCTGCTCAATAACAGTCATCGCGCCCGTACGCCTCTGTGTGCACGTAAAAGATCCCTTGGTAGTTGTAATTCGAATTAAGAGTAGATCGTATCGACGCAGTCCGGGCAGAGCTTCCCTTATAGCACACTGTATTACGTATGCCCGTCTTTATTAGTGGGGATCACGTGGCTAAGTGGGTAAGACGCTAGCTCGCTAGCCTGGAGGTCGGGTGTTCGATCCCTGCTTTGGCCGAGAAAGTTCATCCAGATTTTCCGGCGTGGTTCTCCCTTGTCAGTGATGCAGGACGGAGGGACTGACAAGGAAAGCTGTCGAATGGGACGAAAAACCGAGGTCCCGTGTACACATTGGCGTGCACGTAAAAGATCCCTTGGCAGTTGGAATTCGATATAAGAGTAGGCCGTATTGCTGCTGTCCGGGCAAAATTTCCCTCATAGCACACTGTATGGCGTATGCCCGTCTTCATTAGTCCAGGTTAGGAGCAGAAAAGTAGAACGTTAAACTCCATTTCATTTCATTTCATAGTGCCGCTGTCCGGGCAAAATTTCACTCATAGCACACTGTATGGCGTATGCCCGTCTTCATTAGCCCAGGTTAGGAGCAGAAAAGTAGGACGTTAAACTCCATTTCATTTCATTTCATTTGTCTTTATTAGTAGCTACCGGCAGTTATTTTTAAATATTAATTAATTGTCGATAACCTTGTTGTTTGCCGAACGCCGCACATCTCAGCGTTGTAACAACACCAAGTTTTTCACAATCCGAGCAGAATTGACGTTGTTACTGTCCGTTTAGTAACGCCAACTGGCAGACAACCAACCCCACCCCACCCCTTTTCACGAAATCAGTCATTTTGCTTCAATTTTCAGCCCCTAATTTGCAATGCGAAAATATATTTCCAGGGCCGTACCTAGCGGGGGGGGGGGGCAAGAGGGGGGCAGCTGCCCACCCCGGAAACAATCTGCGCCCCACTTGGAAAAAATCTGCGCCCTTTCCATTGAACACAATAGGAGGCCAGCGACTTACATGCCCAAATCAGTATAGGCGCCCCATAAAGCCAAGTGATATTTGTTGGGCACACACGACGAGATTGGCAGGGCGCCCTACCAAAGTCAATTGGTTTTATGTGAGCCTCAGCAATCAAATGGTGAGGAGCCTCACGCGATGAACTCAACTTGATGGGGCGTTTAAAACGGCGTGATCTGTGGTCCACCTTATCCCAGAGGGCTTTCCATTATGACATGTTTGGTGGGGCGCCTTATAATGACAATAATCTCTGCTCCCCCAATGGGACGCAGTACGAAACCAACGACTAACGTGTCCATATCAGTATGGGCGCTCTATAAAGCCGAGTGACTTTGGTTGGGCACCCACTACGAGTACATCGGCGCCCCCAGAAGCCCTTGCCCCCCCCCATACAAACACATGGTTTAAAATACCGGTACAGAAAATTAAATAATAACTTGAACTTGAACTATACAAATTCATAATCAATAATGATACATTTTAATCAACACTTTAAAAAAAAAAAAAATCGTCGTAGAGTATTCAAAACAAATTAAGAATGAACTAAGAATAAAACTAAAATGAAAATAACCACCCCCCTCCCCCACGCCACATTTTAAAAAAATAAAATAAAATAAAAAGACATAAATAAATAAATACATAAAATAAAATCGTTTATCTATATTCCAGTATCATAATATTTATAATACTCTCTCTCCCCCCCCCCCCCAAAAAAAACCCAGAAAAATTATAAAAAAAAAAACCAATTATTTATCAATTATTTATGTAGCTAACTGTATTAAATAAATCAACATGAAATATAATTTTCTTCCCAAGTTGGCAGTCACCTAGGTACCAGAACACAAGTCGACCATTCTTCCCAAGTTGGCACTCACCTAGGTACCAGAACACAAGTCCACCATACTACTGAAAATACAAAAGATTTAATTATATCAAGTAAAAGTTTATATAGCCAGCACAGCAATATTATTATTCATACCAAACTGTATGTTCGTGTATTTAGGATTTATTAATGTATATATTTTAATCTCAAACATACACAATCCTGATAAATTAAAATAATACCTTTATGCAACAGGTACAAAAATATTTTCTTCCCAAGCATTATGGAACTCTAAATGCTATCAATTAAAATGGACTGTATTAATTCAATTTTCAAAAATTACATCTGAATTTTAAATTACACTTATAAATCTAATAATACACACTGAACGACAAGCAACATTTTCTTTTGTCAAAGTCAGTTGAGGTATTAACTGTGGTCTTTGTCTGTATTGTGGTGGAGTTGCGTCCCTTTCGAATCCGACACGGTGCCGATTTCCAGGAATTGCCACTTTCCACATGGGTTTCCGACCTCAACAATATTTTAGATCACTAATTTAGTGTTTATTTTCATAATTGTAATTAAAAGTTTGAGTGCATCTGCGCGTGTCAGACAATTTCAATAAAAAAAGAAACCTTCAACAATTTATTTAAAGTCCACTTATGTACCGCATGTCAACCGCCATTGGGCCTAACCATTTTTTTGGGACACGCGTGCATACTCTCTAAGAGTGGGGTTGAAAATCGTCCATAGCTGAGCACAACATTGTCTGAGCCCTCTAGCAGTGGAGCCGATCGCTATTATTAGCCCAGTCGGGACAGAACAGTAGGGCGATAAGTCCGATTTCGTTTTACTTTCGTTTTGGGATACATAAAATATTTGGGTCATTAAGGATCAAAAGTTCATATTACATGTTGATGACCTCTTAACCTGGCCTTTTCCACATTCATACGTCTAATAGGTTCACGTTTGGCTTCCACACTAGCCAAATGGGGCTCATAGTGATCTACCTTGCTGTGGTGGGTGCATGTCTCCAACATTTTTAAAATATTATTTTGTAATTCATCCCTTCTACTAATTCGTGCGGAATAACTTCCGGTATCCAATATATTCTTGCGATGAAATAAATAAAGATGAATTTACACTACACTGTCTGAACCGTAATAAATTTTAAACGGATTTATTCCATTATGAACAAACTACTTAATTATGGTTATTATAAACTTGTCTGTGTGTTTGAAATCACCTCCGCTTAAATAAAGTCTATTGTGCAAGTTTTTTCTTTCAAAATTGAAATCCTCACAAACTATGACTTCGAGAAATACAAAAATAGGAGCTAATTACATCAATTATCGGGATAAATCATTTCTTACAAGGGGATGGCGGCAAGGCGTGTCTATCGTAACGGTATGTGACTCTTTTACAACAATTTAGATTTTGTGTATGAACAAGCTATTATTCTCGGTCTCAGTAATGAATTTGGGCGCTTATCCATATAAATACACCCATAGTCCGTTATTTTGTCTTGTTTTAGCCGATTGATTAGAGAGTTGGGTGGGATGATTTTTCTTTTGAACACTGCTGCAGAACAGAAAGAACGACATTCATTTTATGGGCCTTGAATATCACCCTTGAATATCTTTAATATTTCCTGATGAACTTAAGCAGTCCTGTCAATTAACCTTGGCAATCTGCTGTGGCTGGGGTAAATACCGATGTAAATTATTTATCGTGTATGCCGTTATTCATGCATCCATTTACCGGGACGGTCTTGATTTTTGTGGTACTTTTTATCGTCCCGTCCCGATGCCTCTCAAATACCAAGATGTTCCGGTTTTTAAATCACTCCACAGATAAAAAATAATTTTGGGTGTTTTTCAGTTGAAAAAATAATAACACAAATGACATTATTAAACTGGTGATCAATACTTCATAATACCACTTCTAATCTAAATATTTTATAGCTTAGTACATAACACAACATATTACATATATATTTTGAGTGTAACTACCATCACAAAATGGCGGAGAACACATCTCCCAACTTCTAGAAAATGGTAACACATGTCTTGGTTTCTACTATAAATAATCTGGTAACCCTATACAAACCAAAAAGTATTCAAAACGTCATACCTATTTCATGTATTTCCATTATCTTACGCTGTGTAAGAACTTCAGAATGTTAATATCGGTATTAGGTCAGGATGTAAAAGTCTTCTGTATGTCAGGATGTAAAAGTCTACTGTATGTGATCATGTAATAATAATGTTCTTCAACTTCATTAAGACAGACGATAATACATGTCTGTATCTTATTAACGACTACTCGGAAATGGACATGTCAATTATGAAATTCACTATCAGTAGGATTGCATTCTCAAATATTAGCTATTAGTCAGAAGCGGACAACAAACAGCATGACACGCCACATCAAAGAATAACCACATCAAACAGCAAGAAAAAGTGGATACACCAGATCAAACAACAAGAACAAGTGGATACATCACACCAAACAACAAGAACAAGTGAATACATCACATCAAACAACAAGAACAAGTGGACACATCACAACAAACAACAAGAACAGGTGGATACATCACATCAAACAACATGAACAAGTGGATACATCACTTTCGTATTAACGAAATATTATTTCGTATTAACGAAATATTATTTCGTATTAATGAAATGATGGGACTTGAGATAGTTTCTATTATGAGTAAGGTGCTGTATGGATGTATAGACTAATAGACAGTGGTAGAATTTTAATTCCAGGAAAAGGTTAGTCTCACACATTTCCCCCGTCTTCATTAATTCGGTTGATGCAGATAAGTAAGAAATGAAATGGGGTTAATTAAACGATTTGAATGTCTATTACAAACTTAACAAACCATTTTAATAACGGCGTGGTTTCGATTCTCGTGACAAGGAGTAGGGTCGCCTGTCCAACCTCGTGGGCTTTCTCCAGGTTCTGTCGTTTTCCCCCGCTGCTAAAGACCCCTAAGCGCAATTGAATTATTGAAATAAAATTTAACATAATATTCCATCTTCAATAGTCCGATTGACGCAGAAAAGAACGAATATTAAATGAAATGAAATGGAGTTTAACGTCCTACTGTTCTGCTCCGCCTGGGTTAATGAAGACGGGTTTGTACTATACAGTGTACTACGAGGGAAACTTTGTTCATATAGCGGCGCTATGGCCTACTCTTATATTGAATTCTGACAGAGGGTACTTTGTGTGCACGCGAATATGTACCTGGCAACTCAGTTTTGCGTCCCATCCGAAAGACTATAGGTTATCCCTTGCCAGACCCCCCACCCCGCAATACTGTCAAAGAGGAAACTATCTATCACTGAATTTCAACTGGCAAAAGATACTGGCGGACTATTGAGCTTTCGCTAAAATGGGCCATTTCAAACAATAATAGTAGTCTACTATTGTCAAAAGAGTGTGCAAAATATAATATTATTGGGGTCCCCCGTCAAATTTCATTTCCACTTGCCAGCAGATTGATTGGCATGGCAAGCAAACGGACTTACTCGCATATAGGTCCATTGTATGTAATTTGCAGCATGTTAAATGTCCCTTGATATTTGGAATGGGTTATCGATGTTGCCACGACTCATACCCCACCTTGATTTGCTGACTTGCGGGGGGTCTGGGGGTCCTCTATCCATCTCTCGAAAATGTGGGCGTATCCTGCCTGGCAGCCGCCAGCCTATTTTTAAATTAAATTTTAGATGGCGAACCATTCCAATCTATTTAAAATCTTGAGCATCCGATGCCATCGAGAGTTGATTATGGTCTTGTTTTTTTAATAAATGTCTAATAACGAATAGTTTAGATAATATTTTAGACCCAAAGAAAGACCTGCAATAGGCAAATTTAGCTCTTGCATAATGTATGTTTAATGTAGTGCGATGTATAGTTAATACCAAAGATGGGTTGCCAGGCAACGAAACATACGCCCACAGCAGCTAAATCGTCCGAGCGGTCGACAAGGGTTGCCGCATATTCATTCTTTTGTAGGTAATTAGGGGCATTTAATAGACAATTTCATACAGGCGTCATTATAATTTTGATCGTTTGAGGGTTCCCAAGGTTCTAAAAACTAAAACAAGAGCCTAGCTCTGGAAGTAATCTACAGAAATTGTTGAAACTTTCATTTTACTAATTAAAATAATGCATATAAATTTTGTACGGATCTGATGATAAGTTTTGTGATAAGTTTTGTCGTTCGAACATTCCCAAGGTTCAACAAAGTAAAACAAGGGTCATAACTTTAGAAGTAATTGACAGAAATTTGCTGAAATCCAACAGGCTTCTTCGTTTTACTAATTTAAAGGGACAATAATACTCTTGCTGGCTTGACAGGTCCAGAAAATAAATTAGCCTTATTCTAACTACTATATGTTTAAGTGTCCTACTTGTGTAAATTATCCATTACATCCTATTTTACTTGTCCAGAGGGTTCAAAAATATTTTTAAATCTAAGTTAAAATATTTTTAAATCTAAGTTACATTTGAAAAGGTTTACGTAATGCTTTTAAAACCATGTAGTTGAATTTCCAATTTTTTAAATTCGGTGTGTTAAGATGAAATTTGTATCATCAATTAATTGGAATATTGTAAAATAGTACAATTTGTTGACCAGAATAATGATTGGGACATATTATTCAGTTACGACAAGAGTGTTATTGGGCCTTTAAATGATACATAAAAATTTCATACAGATCGGGCGATAACTTTTATTGTTAGAGCGTTCACAAGGCGCAACCAAGTGAAACGTGGGCCGTAACGAAAGGCGTAATGAAATAAATTGCTTCTTCATCTCACTAATTCAAACGACTT